AGAGACCCTTTTAAAGCTAACAACTAACAACACTAATAACAGCCCATTTTCCACTTAAGAAAACTGGAGCTCAGAATGAACAGTGTGTTCAAGCAGCCACTGTCAGCCTACTAGCCAGTACATTTGCTACACTATAGCCCATGATCAAGTGTAAGTCTTCACTTCAGATATTTGTTTTAGAAATACATACACTCGATATGCTCAATTTTACTTTTTCTCATTAAATACGATTTATATTCACTGTAGAAAATCTAGAAAAGACCAGGTACAGTAACTCATGCCTATAATCCTAGCACTTTGGGAGGCCAAGGTGGGAGGACCACTTGAGTTTGAGAACAGCCTGGGCAACATAGCGAGATCCCATCTCTATAAAAATTTGTTTAAAAATAGCCAGTTGTGGTGACTCATCCCTACAGTCCCAGCTACTCGGGAGGCTGAGGAAGGATGATCCCTTGAGCCCAGTTCAAGGCTGCAGTGAGCTATGATTGCAACACTGTATTCCAGCCTGACAGAGCATGACATTGTCTATAGTAAAAAAAAAAAAAAAAGAAATCTGGAAAACATCATTAAAGAATTAAAGAAAAAAATTCACCTCAGTAATGTTCTTTTTGTGTGGTTACTAGTATATTTTTAGAATTCCATTAAATATTGTGAAATATTACCCATAATCCAACAATTCACAAATAACCACATTTAACAGTTCAGTGTACTACTTCCTTAGTTCAAGGATTTATGCATCTGTGCTACAAAAACATGTATTCACATGCTACAATTCCTGAGTATCTCTATGACTTTTTAGTGAAAGCATGAAAGTTCCCCAGACATCTAAAAATATCAGCACCAAATCTTTGCAACTTTAAGTTTAGGTGCAGAGAAGGAATTGAAAAACTCTAAACCTACTACCAAGGCAGTTGTTGGGATATTATCTATGACTTTGATACAAATTCTGTTACAGTTCATATTGTTACAAATACCACTGGCGTGACATCAACCTTATCCTTCCCCCAAACAGAATAGTATTGTGAACTCGTTGAACTTTTCAGGGCATCACTATGGAATAAAGTCAAGATTCTGATTATTTATGGTTTTATTCCACATAACATGATGTAAATATATGGTGTGGTGGCTCACACCTGTAATCCTAGCACTCTGGGAGGCCGAGGTAGGCAAATCATTTGAGCTCAGGAGTTCAAGACCAGTCTGAGCAAGACCAAGACCCCGTCGCTGCTAAAAAAAAAAAAAAAAAAAAAAAAGAAAAGGGCCAGGCGCGGTGGCTCACGCCTGTAATCCTAGCTCTCTGGGAGGCCGAGGCGGGCGGATTGCTCGAGGTCGGGAGTTCAAAACCAGCCTGAGCAAGAGCGAGACCCCGTCTCTACTATAAATAGAAAGAAACTAATTGGCCAACTAATATATATAGAAAAAATTAGCCGGGCATGGTGGCGCATGCCTGTAGTCCCAGCTACTTGGGAGGCTGAGACAGAAGGATCGCTTGAGCCCAGGAGTCTGAGGTTGCTGTGAGCTAGGCTGACGCCACGGCACTCACTCTAGCCTAGGCAACAAAGTGAGACTCTGTCTCAAAAAAAAAAAAAAAAAAAAGAAAAGAAAAGAAAAAAAATATCAAAAGAAATTAGCTGGACAACTAAAAAATATATATAAAAAACTTAGCCAGGCATGGTGGCACACGCCTGTAGTCCCTGCTACTCAGGAGGCTTAGGCAGTAGGATTGCTTGAGCCCAGGAGTTTGAGGTTGCTGTGAGCTTGGCTGATGCCACGGCACTCTAGCCTGAACAACAGTGAGACTGTTTAAAAAAAAAAAAAGAAAAGGTATCTGCTGCATTAAGTTGTGATTCTGGGAGTATCCAACCAACAAGTATTATTCAACAATCAATTGAAAAAGTGCTAGTCAGGTCAGTGCCAACAATGAGGAGCAGAAAGGAAAACAACAGCTATCCTAGTAAGCATCTTACCATTCTTCTATAAATCAACTGTACTAGATTATTGTAGTAGATTATTGTTACTGTAGATTATTGTACAAATTACTCCCACGCTCACTTAACTTTGGGCTTGACCACGTGACTCCATTTGTTTAATGGAATATTAGCAGATGTGATACAACCAATGATTGAAAGGCACTTGAATAATAGAGCTTACTCTCTTATGCCTTTGCAGTGGCTGCGAGAAGAGCTTTGCCTGGGAAGTCACTGCCTATTCAGTCTGAATCCCAAAATAACATACAGAACAGTCCTGAGTGTGTGTGTTTCAACCCAAGTTAGGTTGAATCAGCAATGCGGAAGCCTCAGATACAGGGGGCTGACTGTAATAGCTATTAGGTATTCATGGCTGACTATATTAAAAAGAAAAAAAAAATTTCTCCCGCTTCCACTGTGTTATCCTGTTATTGACATAGCATCACTTCAGGTCCCAAGCCTGGGAGTAGGAAGGAAAGTATGTCCTCAAAGGAGAGCCAAATCACAGAAGGAGCAAGACCAGAAAGAAATTGCAACTCAAAAGGTTCATCTTAGGCAGGCAGGAATTCTCCCCTAGGTCCAGGGCTTTTGCTCCCTTGCTTCCCAATCCTGGCCCTGGCCACATATAAAAGCAATCCAGGTACCCAGATGGTAGTGCCTCAGAGAACAATCATATTCTTAGTTCTACATTAATCTCAGTATCTTTTCTACTTCTGTTATTTCAGTCTTCTTTAAAATGCTCTCTCTCAACTGGGCTTTGGAAAACTAAAGGAAATAGGCCTCAGTCTTTTCTAATTATCCAGCGTTTCCCCAAGTACAAGGTAAATACTATGGAATACTAACTGAAACTGTTAAGATCTCTGGAGATTTTTTCCCCTCCATTAACAATTTTAAGATGCTGGGATTAATTTATCAAAGAAGGGGCAAGTTTTCTTTTTATTGACTAAGTTGCAAAACTTTGTTAAATATTTTCTATTTCATCTTCAATGGATTCTCACTGTACACATTTAAAAAGGACTTCTGTGCTGTGTTAAAATATTGCTAGAAAATACATGGAATTTTAAAATATTTTAATATATTTTTCCTTGATACTCATTCTTCCCTTTTTTATTATAATGCCATTTACCATAAAATAATTTCATCTATATTTGATCAAGATCTTACATAATGTCCTGTCTCCCTTTCAGTAAGGGAAAATAATTCTTATATGCTTCCTTACTTTCAGGATTGAAACAAGTGGTCCCTTTTGAAAGTTCATTTTCTAATTTAGCAATAAATAATTCAAAGTAGAAGAGCTTTTAGTCCACACCTAATAATTCACTTTCAATAATTTACTATGTATATTTATTATAAACACAAATCTAGAAAATAAGAAAAAAGAATTATTATCAGTTTGTAATTTTGTACCCCAACACCTATATAAAAATATCCAGAAAAGAAACTGTTGAAAGCTAATTTAAATTGGAAATAGACAAAGGACACATAGAAACTCCAACAACTTAAACCAGAACTAGTTTCAAATGTCTATCCAATCAACTGGTAATCAATCTCAATGATCTAAGAAAAGTCCATTACAGTGAAAAATCTAAAACTTTATTTAAAAATGTAATTTGTTTTTAAATACCTATGTTTCTCAAGTAAATAAGAAAAGTTACTGAATCACATTAATTCAACCAGTAAGTATTATGTTTACAGTTATGTCATTAAGGCAAGTAACACAGGAGATCATGTTAGTTCCTTGAGACATTAACCTCAAAAAAGAGATGTCTCCCAAGCACTTCTAGTGTTATTACCCACAAACTTGGATGATCCCATTTGTATTTTTAGCCTGAACATCCAACTAGAATAGCATCTTTGGTAGCCAGTTTCAAAAGATGGCCCCCAGTAATGCCCACTCCCCGTTTACCCATACATACCACTCTCCCTATCAATCAGTAGAGATTATTTCCTCCTTCTAAGAACCCAGCCACCACACTTTAAGGAAATCCATGCAGCCACATGATAAATGGCCCATACAGAGAACTGAAGGCCCTTAGCCCTACCTGAATTCTCAGCCAGTAGCCAGCCCTGTGAATGTGGCCATTTTGAACACTCCAGTCATACTGGCACCCGAGGCAACACCAGGAAAAGCAGAAAAACCATCAAATTTGAGAGAAATAATAAATTGGTTCTTTTAAGCCACTAAATTTTGAAGTGGTTTGTTATACAACAATAATTATCTTTTATATCTATCAGTTCTATAAAAAAAAAAAACTTACATGTGTCCTAAAATTATGTCATTCAAGTTTCAAGTTCCCCTACTTGATTCTGGGATTAGTTGGACAGAATATATTTATCCTGTCTATTTTTAAAAATAAGCCTCAAATTCCTCCTCAGCTCATCTTTCATACATTTTATATATATATATCCTATATTCAATTATTTTCATTTCTCTTCCAGTTCCACTTATCTTTTCTGAGGTTTAAACCTATACTTGTGTTGACCAAAGAAGTATCAGGAAAGGTCCTTGAGGACCTGCTAAAGCCGAATGTGATTTATTAGCACACAAGTTATTTAATGTAAACTACAGCTTTCATATCTTTTTTTTTTAGAAATTAAACATTATGCTTAAACTATTTTTCACAAGTATCCAAGGGCAACTCCAGTCAACTCTAAATAGCAGTCTCATTAATAAGATTTTATTGTAAAATTCCTAATCAAATCACTACATTAATGTGGTGATGAGCAAATTCATAAGAGTATCCATTTCATGTTGACATTTTAAACCAATTTTACTTTTTTTTAACTATGGATATCAGGGCATCTATACAAAAGTTGCCATTAACAATTCACAATTGAGGGAAAGGGTAAAGCCAGAACAAAGCCAAATACTGAACAAAATTTTCTATGGGATTAAAAGGATAGGTCTTTCCATGTGTACTATGCACTAATTACTTGATGTAAGTTCAAATAAAATATCTTCCTATCTCAAAATTGACTCTGAATAAACATGTTATACAGGGTAAATGGGACCAAAGGGAAGTTGTGACTTACTCAGATTCATAATAAGACTGTTACTGAGCTGAAAGAGAATACAAAATCTCAAACTCTCTGTTCTCTGCTTCTCTGATTAAGGTGTCATTCTTGGTGACCCTCTTCCAGTTGACCTTTTCTCAAACAGCAGCCACAATAGCAGGGAAGGTCAAAAATGAAAGTAACTAAAATTAAAGAAAAAATTGGCTTCTCCATATAGAAACTGATTCAACGTTTAATAATGTATGGTGCCCTAAAAGCTACAAACTACTACATGGTCATCTCCAAGTCCACCTTAATCAGGAGGCCATTATCAAAACATAACTCACTAGTACAAAGCAGAGATGAAGCGGTTGAGGATATTCCTAGGCTGAGGTCTTCTTAACGGAGAGTAAAAAGGATGATCTCATAATGTCTCTTTATGATCCATAACTCGCATTATTCCATAAATCAGACACAAGTGTCAGGATCAGGATTAAAAATCAACCCTCTAGGTAGGAAAACAAAAATAAGGAACTTTTCTAATTTAAAGCTAGAAGTTGGCTATAGAGATAAAGCAACTTTCATTTACTTCTAAAGTTCTAAAAAATGTCAAGATCTCTTTTTAATATTTGACCAATCTCTGAAAAAGTATTCTTGTAAATGGGGCGGTTTACAGCCTAAATTCAATAAGATTAGTATCCGTATTTTTTTAGATTTGTTGTGGTATTTCAGGCAAAGACACAAAATAACTATTTTTTTAACAAAGGAATAAGATTTGGAGTAACAAGTTACAATTGCTTCTGAAAAAAGCAAAACTTGAATGAAAATAATATCAATGTCCTTAAGGCCACCTGTTAAGCTAAAAGTCTATGCATTCCATCACCCTTTAGTTGTAATCACAAAGTTTGGTTTTACACCTAGGATATACAAGAAGCATCAGATTAAAAGCATCAAATATCAGACTATATTAAATTTGCCAAAGATAAGCATAGCAAAAGAAATACATGATACAGTTAAATAGGCTTCAAGGGGTTTAAACATACCCACAAAGTCCAATTCATGCTCACACTGTCCTTTAACCTAAAACTGATGAGTAACCACCAGTCCTGACTTAATCTCACATTACCCACTACCTACAGTCACCCTAAATCTTCTGAATTTCTCCACAGATCTCATCATTTCTTATGGGTCTTTGCAACTCTAATCTCCATGGCCTTTCCTTTCCCAGAAAGTGATACAGCACCTGGCCCCATATTTTACTACCTCCACAATTTAGCTCCAAGTTTTGTTTTGCTTTACCCTATTAGATATTAATTTTGCCCCCAATCTCCTGTACCCATGTTTCCCTGACCAATCGGCCTCTTACTTTTCATCAACTTGTCCTTACTATAATATTTACCTTCTTTCAAAGTATATAACCCTTTTCCCGATATTTTTAATTCTGGTTCATAGTCAACACCCTCTTCCTCTCCAAGGTATTGTCCCCATAGCCCTAGGTCCTCTCTCCCAGTCCTTACTCTTCCTAAGTAAGGCCTCTTCCCTTCCAGAGTTTGTCAACCTTAGTTTGGCCAAGCTGAGATTCCACCCTCAAGGCAAAGCCTATCTTCCCTCCTCATTTCACAGAACTACAAGCCTCCCAGCAGCCTCCGCTTTCCCTCCTCCACCCTTAAATCCATCTGCATCCAGCCCTGCCTATTCTCCCCTTACTCACAGTATCTGTCTTCCCACTATCCCGTGCTCCCCTTCCCCACTCCTGAATGCACCTCCTCTCCGGGGCCTTACCTATAGTAACCCTGACACCGGGAAGGCCCTGCCAGCGGCCTCACGGCGTCTCTCCACTGGGCTTCCTCCGCTCTTCAGTAACTGTCCCCACGCCCCTTTCCCTCCCGGGCCCCGCGCGCCGCCTTGTGCCCCCTCCTCGATTAAGCTCCCGCTGTCACTTGGCCTCTCATCCACAAGATGGCGGAGCTGCTGCCCCCACCCTGGGTCCGCTCTGCAGCCCCCAGCCTCCTTCCCGGAGCTCTCATCCTGTCCCTCCGGCCGCCGTCGTCACGGGCCTTGGCCCAGGGTCCCGCTACCCAGTCCCGCAGTGGGCGGGCGGCCTCGGCCTGAGCTCAGAGACGCCGCCAACGCCCCCGCGTCTGCCGTTCCCCGGCCTACACCGTCTCCTCACCATAAACTTGAGTGCTTTCTCCTGCAGCACCGCCTCGGCTGGGTCCATAATCGCCGGGGCCACTGGGTCTGCTCTCCGCCGGGGCCGCCCCTTTGGTGCCAGGCCGCAGCCAACGCAGAGCCCGGATCCCGCCTCCTCTTCCTTCCCCCCGCCCTCTCTTACCTCTCAGGCACTGGCAGGGGGGCCAAGGAGAACCAGCTGCTCCGTGCTCATGCGTGAGCCCACTGGCTCAAGGGATTTGTAGTTCTGGAGCTTCCCTCAGCAAAAACCGAGGCCACGCCGCGAACCGCAACTCCCGCAGTTCACTGCGGCAGCACTGCGGCTGCCGACAAGCCAAATCTAGACAACTCGTGGTCAAGTAGGGGAAACGGGCTGATGGGAATTGTAGTTTACAGGTTCTACGGCTGAGAAACGGGAGGGGCACGGGTGTCTCCGTGGTAACCGAGCGACGCCAGTGGCGGCTTTCCTGGCGTTTGCTATCAAGATGGCGACCAGTACCTCGCCTGTAGCCCAAATACTGGGAAAACTGTGAGAGGAATCAGGGGTCTTAGGGCCTCCCTAACTGTGGTTTTAGAAAGCTAAACATCCCCAAATTTCACATGTCTAACGTCTGCAGGAAGTTTGTGACCCAGAGGCGCTGGGCCAGTGGGCACCTGGGAGCCGCTCACAGACCAATGCAGAATTTCAAGGTCCTCCTAAACTATCGCCCTTCACTTCTCCCAAGGAATCTTTCCTCGCCTACAGCGAGTCAGAGCCTGGTAGAACTCGGCTCATGAAATTCTTGGTGTTTAGAACCCAGAAAGCATAGCCTGCAATTGCTAACCCTGGGATGTAAGCCCTGCTCTAAGGGTTAAACAGATACTTACAAAAGCCTTTGAACAGTGGAGTATAATGGTCATCCAACAAATAAAGCATATAAATATTTTCTTTGGCCTTGAAAATGACAATACGAGTTTATTTTGGAAATTGGGTCTACTTTAGGAGGAAAAATACTAGCGTTGGTTTACAAGTGAGGTAGATTATAAACCTGGTGCAGTGGCTCCCACCTGAAATCTCAGCTACTCTGGGAGGCTAAGGCTGGAGGATCCCTTAAGCCAGGGCAGCAGAGCGAGACCCCCATCTCTAAAAAACAAAACAATAAAAAAGTGATAATAGATTATGATAGCCTTGTATAAAATATCTAAATTCATAAAATAAGTGAATTAGGAAAGTGCCTTTTCACTTAAGGGAAAAATCTCCATTGTAACTATTTTAGTTCATTCAATAAATAATAGACACATAACTGTGTGCAGACATCCTTTCAAGAAATGAGGATTCATTAGTGAACATAGCACACCCAGTCCCTTTCTTTGTGGAGTTGACATATCTAGTCTGTTGATACTTTGTCCTAGTCATCCTTATGTCCACAGAACTCAGCATAATATTTAATAGACTTTCATTTCATAAAAAGTTTTGCTCTTGAATTTAAAAAAAAAGTTCAACACAAGTGCAAAATGGAGAAGACTTAAAACTCATTTGTATGAAAACTACCTGGAAGTTTTTCATAGAACTAAGGCAGGTATGTGACATAGTTACCAAAAAAAACCTACAGGAGTCCTAGGCAGCTTGAAGAGAAGTAGTGTTTGAGGCAAAGAGCCTTGTGGTCTTGCTCTGTTTTGAACCACCCAGTTCACTCCTGTAGTGTTTGGCTCAGATATGGGCACCCATGTTCTGTGAACATCATATGCAGAAACATAGCCAAGGACAGGAAGACCAAGAAAGAAAATATTGGTGGATGCTTAACCTGAAAAAAAGAACACTTAAAAATAAGATGACAAGGCCGGGCAAGGTGGCTCACACCTGTAATCCTAGCTCTCTGGGAGGCCGAGGCAGGCGGATTGCTCAAAGTCAGGAGTTCAAAACCAGCCTGAGCAAGAGCGAGACCCCGTCTCTACTATAAATAGAAAGAAATTAATTGGCCAACTGATATATATATAAAAAATTAGCCGGGCATGGTGGCGCATGCCTGTAGTCCCAGTTACTCGGGAGGCTGAGGCAGAAGGATGGCTCGAGCCCAGGAGTTTGAGGTTGCTGTGAGCTAGGCTGATGCCACGGCACTCACTCTAGCCTGGACAACAAAGCGAGACTCTGTCTCAAAAAAAAAAAAATAATAATAATAATAATAATAATTTCATCATCCAGAGAGGAGTATGAAAATATTGCCTGATAAAGCCAGCAGTCAGTGATAGTCCTCTTTTTGTGCCCAGTCATGTAGAGGTGAGGATTAGTAAACAAACTCAAGGAGTGTTTGTTTAGAAGTCCAACCAGTTAAACAGTTCATATACATATGGATTGAAATTGAGCTGGCAGGGGCTGGCCACAGAAAGGCTAAATCCTTTTTGCTGAAAATTGACCGCTCATAGTCAGGCAAACTGAGAAATCCAAATATGAATTGCCCTGATTTTCAAGACTCTCATATGCTACATGGTTTAGGAGAGTTTATTATTGGTATGGGAATTAAAAGGTAGATCTAGCTCATCCTATTACCAGTTCATGGGTTGACTGGGCAATTTAACTGACTCTTTTTGGCCCTCTCCTTTGTCATCTGGGAAACAAAGGTCTCTGGCAACTCTAAAATATGTATACCCATAAGCGAGGCTATCATCACCATTTTCCTTGGTTTGCAATATTCACCTCCAATCCAGTCTTGGGACTCCAGGTTCTCTCCTTCTACCTCATCTGATAATCTGTTTTAGAGTGCACTTTCATCACATTTCTTCCTTGCTCAATACTTTCATGGCCCTCTTTTCTCCTTTAGTTTTATTTAAATTACTTTGTCTGGCTTTCAAGACCTTCATAATCTTACCCAATTCTATCTCTCCAGCCTTACTTCCCATTTTGCTTTAATATACCCCTCCTCTCGAAGCAGAGCATTCTTCTCCCACCCACATCTACTCAACATAATCCTGCCTCTTGGCTGTAGCATGTGTTGGACATTTTGTAATTCCTTACTCATCTTTCAAGGTTTGATTTAAATCTTACTTTAAAAAAATATTTACCTGGCCGGGCGCGGTGGCTCAAGCCTGTAATCCTAGCACTTTGGAAGGCCGAGGCGGGCGGATTGCTCAAGGTCAAGAGTTCGAAACCAGCCTGAGCAAGAGCAAGACCCCATCTCTACTATAAATAGAA